TCATTATTTCAGCTGGTTTCATCATGATAACGTGGGGGTGGATGTTTGGCCCTGGGGTTCACTGACGGCAGAACAGCTTGCTTGTAAAACAGTTTAAGTTTCTTTTGGATCAAAGCACAGTTTAATGTGTTGAAAAACAAGAGTTTGGAGAGACTAAGTTGAGTTACAAAGCAAAGGAGATGGGAACGACAGAGGGAAAAAGAAGAAATACTGCACCACCACCAGTTTTTAAATATATCAAATATATAAACTTAAATTGGTAGATTTTTATGCTTTAAGTTTTAGATCCCAGTCAAATCCAAAATCGAAAAAGATTATGGGTTAAAAAAATGGTATGATGGAGACAAAGAAGAACAGGAGGTCTATTGGATGAGAGGTCAAACGACTACAAGAAGTAAGACATTCCAGTTGCCAAAGTGCGATCTTCTCAGGACAAACAAAAACTACAGTTGGGGAGATTTTCACCAAGTGGAATTTAGTGGTGCCTTTTGTAAAATCATGTTAGGTAAATTTAAGGAAAATAAATGTAGTTCTATTAACAAAAAAAATTACATATTACATATACAACTTAACCAAAGTTTTGAAAAACAAAATCTCCCAATTTTATCATTAGGGTTGGTGACAAAGAAAAACATCTGCTGTTATTTGTCTTTCTGTTCAAGCGCTATACGTATCTTTTTTCGGCTTATTGTGAGATGATGTCGTCTTCATATTAATCATGATTAACTGTGAATAAATATAATCAAAATTCTTCATGATTCACCTTGATTTATCCACATCTGCACTGTAATTCATAGTGTAGATTTTTAGCATACCATAACACATGTTTATTATTTTTAATAATATAATAGTACATTATCAAAGCTACAAAAAAGCAAATGGTTATGAAATTTATACCTAGACGATATAGACGATACAATAACGATAGCAGTCAATTGTACTGTACGTATTATAGATGATAAAGAACAAAAAACTAAGAAAAAAATAATAAAACTAAGTACACCTGCGCAAATGTCAAAAAGGATGTTTGGCAGTTACAAGTGGAAGGTCACAGTTACATGTGTTGACTTTGAGTGAGACACGTTCACCTCAATGAGATGTTAACGTCAAGATTTCAAGAGCATGTTTGAATGGAAAATAATACTTCTCACACTTCGTTTTTTTTTTCTCCCTTGGAGTCTGAGAGGCCAATTATATTATACATTATAAGTTAAATTATAAATTTAGACTTTTCTCAGCCTGTGCTGGTAGTTCTAGTGTATGATAGGGTTGTAACGTTATGTGTATTTGTCCTGACCTATTTAATACAAGATATTCTGTACAAACGCACACTAGCAGCAGTACCAAATGTACTGGACGATACAGTTGTGATTCTGCAGAGTAATAAAAGTCCAACTTCCCCCCAGACCTCAATTGTTACGCGACCCAAACACCAACTTTACCTTAAATCTCAGTTAGCACGGACAAGTAGGGACGTTTGATAATATCGGCCGATATTATCATATTTTGTAATATCTTTAAGAATCATTATCGGTTTTTCTTCCGAGAATGAAAATTCGATAACATGCCTAGGTTTTGCCAAATGATGTGTGCTCTAAAAATAGTGCAATGCCCCAGCGACAGACCAGTCAGATGCCTCAGTGCTCTAAAGAACTTTTATTGAACCCAAAACCTCTTAACTCCTTTATTGCTCTCAAACTAGCTTCTCCAAATCGCCTTTTCCTCCCCTCACACTCGCCTTACTCTCTCTTCCTCATACACACACACACACTCTCACCATGCCTCCTCACTCCTTCTCCCATACCTGTAACTTGACCAGCACTAACCAAGCCAACGCATGTGCGCTACAACACGGTGCGTTCAAGGCACCCAAGATCCATCAGAAAAAGGAGAACATTATTCCAGAACATAAACATTTATTCCCCAACTATCACAATAACAAATGAACACAGAACATTATCAACACTAAACAAGCCTCCAATCACTAGATGGCAGCATTGCAGCTTATTTTATTAATCTATATTGATAATCACGGGATTGTATGCAGAATGGTGGTGCCAGCAACTCTTACAGTGGGAAAAAAAAACTGCATCCAATGCATCAAGATTAATCGTAATTAATTGCGGTTAACTCACAACTACTTAGTGATTAATCCAGATAATGCAGGCAGGGAACCACTGAACATGTGTTTCCTCTGGGGCTTAAATCCAGGCTGTTTTGCGTGTAAGGCAGATATATATCAGGGCATGATAACTGCTACCCTAAGGAACCACTAGACATAAGAACATTGACTATTAAACTTAAGGACGGACTGAGGTGATTTTTATGAAATAAAACCCGTTCCAGAAATCAAAGCAGACTTCCGAGAAGAGTTAATATGATGCTTTAAGTTAAGGTGAAAACGGCACAAGAGCAGAATATAAAAGAACAGATGAAAAGAAATGAGACAAGACAAGACAAAAAAGCAAGACAGGAAGGGTCAATGTAAGTGCTTCAAACCTCACGCTGTGGATTTTCAGCCATACGTGAGCGACCGTGTGAATGTCAGTGTGAAGAAGAAGCAGATCCACCGCTCTTTCGTTTTTATTTTCCTGTTGTTTGTTTCCACCCTGTGGCCCTCAGCGCTGTTTGACTTCTTCACTGGTCTGGGAACACGGCTCTATCTTCAGGTTAACTGTTCCTCTGTTGCTCTCTTCTTACTCTGCTTTATCAGCTGTTGATAATTAACCTGCTGCTACTGTGGTCATTAAACTTCTCTCCTGACACCTGAGCATCTGCTGCTGCTGCACCACATACAGCGGTTGCATCAGCAGTAGAATATTTCTATCTTTATCCTTCTCATCATCATCATTTATGTCCACAAGTACAACAAGCTGTTACAGAATAGTCAAACTGGCGACACAATGGACCAAAGTTCAAGTTCTGTTTATTCCCTTATATTTTGTACACTGTTTGGCTGTTGCTGCTTTATTTGGGATCATTTATTGCTGTTGCATTTAAGGTCTTATTTTTGTTCTGCAACCTGTCAAATATGAAAGTTGGAAAGAATTGCAAATCAAAAGTATATTTGGAATTTTTTTTAATTTTTTTTCCTATTATATTTTTAAAAATATATGAGTTATTTATAGATACACATACATGAGGATATTTTTTTTTCTTTTAATCCAGAACAGTCAGTAGTGTTGTTCCATCTTTAGACTGATCTGCTTATGTGTATTTGGCCAATATTTTGCCACATCAGCTAAACCGTTTTTGGCGACATTTATATGTATACACAGGCATTGTCTCCATACATTTAATCCTGATTAAGAAATCAAAAGGCCTAAGCAAAACGAAAAAAACTTTAACAAACTATCACCACCACAGATTTTAGGATTTTGGTTTTCATCCCCTAAAATTACAGTTTTGAAATCAGAGCAAACATCTGGTTTCAAACACGTTAAAATAACATGAGCTCGGCGCTGTTTTTATTTTCCCACCGCATCGGATTTTTCTTCACTAAAACTTAAAAGAAATTTGAAAGTCCGTGTACAGTGCGAGGTACGGTGCAGAAGACATTCCCTAGATGATGTAAACACTGCTGCAGAGGTGTTTGTAAATAATGGAGGCAGCAGTGATATAGACATGAATGAATATATAGACAACTCCGTTATTTTGATAAAGATCTCGCAGTATCCAATCACAACAATCGCAAGGTATCTACAAGATGCACAAGTCGGCGAAGAGAAGGTGGTAAGAAGTCCCTGGACCTATTGCCTCAACATGGACTTGAGCACAACGTCAGTCAGACTTAACCAAAATCTGGACCAATGAGAACCCAATAAAGATAAAGGAAATAAATATGCACTTATCAACGACTATAGTCTCTGTGACTGCCGGAACCTTCGCAGTTTCATAACTAACAAGATTCCATATTACACCTGGAGGTGCTTCAACAGAACCTGTTTCTGATATACATATTATTTAGAACAGAACCCTTCAAACCAGGGGTGTCAAACACATGGCCCGCAGGCCAGAACCAGCCAATTACAGGGTTCAATCGGAAAAGTGGAAAAAAAAAAAAGCACAAACCCGCTGGTGATGTTGTGTAAAATTATATTTCATTAAATATGAATATTTTCTAATACACTTGCACTCGTCCGGCAATATTTTCTAATACACTTGCACTCGTCCAGCACACTTGACATCTACTCAGGTATGTATGTGGCCCCTGAACAAAAATTAATTTGACACCCCTGCTTTAGAGCATGTGTCAAACTCAAGGCCAGTGGGCCAAAGGCGGCCCATAAAGTCATTTTGTGCGGCCTGCGGGAGCTTCAAAAGTGTTTCACTGCCTTATAATAAAGTCCATGCTGCTTAAGTTAGGTTTCTCAACTTGATAAATTATTTTTTATTACACACAGCCATGTACTTAAATAAATAATAATCAACTGCAGAAACGTGTATTAATACGTTATAGTAGCAGAGGTGTGGACTCGAGTCACATGACTTGGACTCGAGTCAGACTCGAGTCATCAATTTGATGACTTTAAACTCGACTTGACAAAAGGTTAAGAGACTTGCAACTCGACTTGGACTTTAACATCAATGACTCGTGACTTCACTTGGACTTGAGTCCACTGACTCGACAAGACTCGAGACTTTCTCCAAAACCCAAAGTGATCTGTGTAAATATATTATTATTTTGTTTAAAAGGACTCGAGACAGAAACGTAAGGACTTGGGACTTGACACTTTTTAGTCTTGACTTGGTTTCGACTCGGACTTTAACTGTCTTGACTTGAGACTTGACTCGGACTTGAGTGCAAAGACTTGAGACTTACTTATGACTTGCAAAGCAATGACGGGTAACTACTATCTGAGTATAGTAGTTACCCGATAAATGACACCCCTGCTTCAGACCCTCAGTACCAACAACTCACTGCATCATTGAAACAAAGCTTAAGTTCTCAGAACATATCAAATTGTTTCTGACACTTCTACCAACACAGGTCCTCCTACCTCGTTTGTCTTGGACTTTGACGGTGATCTCCAGCAGCGGTTCGGTTTCCCGGTCCAGTCGCCGCGTGATGATTAAATCTCCGCTGTCACGGTTCACACTAAGCGCTGATTTAAGCGCATCTGCTGGTTCCACCAGCTCAAAGGTTGCAGACTGAAACCTGACCGGATTCAGGTTCATAATAACGGAGCCGATCCCAGCGTCTTCAGACACGTTTATGAGAAGGGTTTTGTCCGGGTCTAGCGCGGACCTGGTTCTCCGCGTCCCTCTAGACTGTTGGACTTTCTCTTTAGTTTCCGTGACGAGGAACTGTTTTGGATAGACTTCCACAGACACGCTCTGGCTGGTGCGCGGCGGCCACCCGCGGTCTCTGGCGAAAAGTTGGAACCTGACCGGTTGGCTCAGACCTAGGATGGAGTCCACCAGGAGGATGTGTCCGGTTTTAGGCACTGCGTAAAAGCTTCCGTTACTGGGAAGAGTGAAGTAGATGAGCTCGGCATTTTTCCCACTGTCACTGTCGCTCGCGGTGACTGCATAAACAGTGGTGCGGAGCGGCGTGGAATCATCCAGATTTAGCCGTACGTGCGCACTTGGGAAGGTTGGCTGGTGGTCGTTGGTGTCCAAGACGTCCACTTTGATGGAGGCCACCAGGAGGATCTCTTGCATATCCTTCTCCTCCTCCTCCTCTCCTTCCTCATCCTCCTCTCCAGGCTCCTCCGTGGCTGCTGCTGCTGCTGCGTTTCGACCGCAGCACAAACCTAGACCCAGCGCGTACTCTGCGCGCTGCTCCCGGTCCAGAACCGTGCAGGTTTTTAGCAGAACTTGGCCGCGTTTGTGATGCAGGAACGCCCGGAAGTTCTCACTGCCGTCGCCTAAGAGTTTAAACCCACAGTTCTCCGAATCACCGCTGCTGCCACTGACTCTGTGCGCGTTGATGCGCTTTAGCGGGACACTCAGACCGTTGACGCTGGAGCCGGGCAGTGCGTTCTCAAACACGTGTCCGTGGAAAAACGGCACCTGCTCCACGGTCCTGTTGTTCCAGAAGGCGCAAGAGACCAGGACGGGTAGGAACGCGACCAGAAACATGACTGTAGAGGATGAGGTTGAAGTGAAAGAGTCTCCGCGGCACTAACGCGCTCCAGCGCGTCTTGTGTCCATGGACGCAGACACTTTTCGAGCCTCCTGCGTGAAAAATAATCCTTAAGGCAGCAAAAAGTAATTCAGAGTCATGTCGTGCTTCAGCGGTGACGGTGCGTGTTAGTCCGTCTCCTTTCTCCTCCGTCTGTGTGTCGCTGCCGCTCTCTTCAGCAGGCTCTGCGCGCATGTGCGCGTCGCTGAAAATCGAAGAAATGCTTCTTACTGCACAAGTACGCGCCTACATCCTCTCTCTCTCTTTCTCTCTCTCTCTCTCTCTCTCTCTCTCTCTCACTCTGTCTCTATCTGCGCGTTCACGTGCACGCATAAGCGCGTCTTCCTGCACGCGGTCGCCGCTGCTACCTTGTATTTTTTTTGTTGCAACTCTCCGCATGCAACTGCGCAGGGAGAAGGAACCAAGACTTGCAGCTTGTGTCAATACGTGTCGGACACCGAGACCTAAAAGCCTTACAGTGAAGAAGCAGTGACGCACCGCAGCACAGGAAATAACTTCTGTCTCAGTCAAAAGCGCCAGCGGAGTGACCGCAGTGCACGAGCACACGCACGGACAAACTGAAGGAGGAAAAACCAGGAGCGCTGCACAGCTGCTGCAACAGGGTAATTAATGGAAGTTCATGTGAGGCAAGGGATGAACAGGTCGTAATCAATAATCAATCAATGTGGGTCAGACAAAAAGTAACATTCGGACAGACAAAAAAACTGAGAAATAGAATAAATTGCTAAACACATTCCTTCTGCATTTGTCTGCACAGGCCGCAACCAGTAGAATATTACCCACATGGGACTACATCCACGAAGTACCCTTGACTATGAGAGCACATCAGCAGGACAACAGCCTAATTAGTAGGACAAACAAAAATGGTCAGAATAAACCAGGTCTAAAAACTCAGAAAATCAGTTTGTGGTACAGCCCTTTTGGCCTCCCCCTTTCACAGAGAAAAAAAAAAAAAGGTGCAAATATTGTATGTACTTAATGACCTTTTTTACAGACTCGTTTAGTTTCGCAAATTATTCGCTCTCCAAGTTCCATGTCCATGGTGAAAATCAGACCTTCAATGACAGAAACTGAGCAGAGGGTGCAGCAGTTCAGCAGCAGCTTTTGAGTGAGCCACCGTCAAAAGACACACCTGTGTCAGTAAGTTCAATATTTGGGTACCGAGCTCTCCAATAGTAAGTTCAATATTTGGGTACCGAGCTGTCCAATCACGCACCCCACGGGTCGTTTTCATTATACTGCTCCATTTCTCTGTCAGTTACCTTTTAACGTGTGTAACTCCATTTCTCTGTCAGTTACCTTTTAAAGTGTGTAAATATTTTTTTGTTGTTGTTGTTTATTTTACATGCTTTAACTTGTCACTTTGACTGTTGTTCAACTTTGAGACACCAGGGGTTGAAGACTCAAGCTGTTGTATGTTTGTCTTACAGCGTTAACTTTTGAGATTTACAATCTCATATATTAACTAAAAGTTTAACCTTATTGTTATTGATTAACATCAAGAAGTAATTAACTTAGATTAAACCGCTGCCTCATTAAAAACATCACTAGACGACGATAATGTATTGGGAGACAAGATTAAACAACTTATCTCACGTGTCAAACTCAGGCTCGGGGGCCAAATCTGGCCTGCGGTGTAACTATATTTGGCCCGGCGAGATTATATAAAATGTTTACTAAAGTTGGCCCGTCACATATAACCACTATATACTGTCAGATTTTGTAGTGTTAGCCGTTTTTTTTATTATTATTATTATTTTGTTGTTGGCTTGTGAAAAAAAACATTTACATTAAAAAATAACTCAGACAAAGAGATAATAAGAAACAAATACTGATGTTGTGTGTTTTATTTCAAATGGAATTTCTCATGTGTTTATAATATTAAGCGTTTGGTTGTTTCAGATTCAAGGTTTACATAAAACTAAAGTTTGGAAGAAGTGAAAACATGCACAATTGCCATCAATTTTTCAATAAATATTATGTTTGGCCCATGACTTTGTCCCAGTTTTTCATTTTGGCCCACTTTGAATTTGAGTTTGATACCCCTGCCATAAGGAAACACAAGGTGCTTCCTTGTTTACTGCTGCCTACTGTGGTGTCACTCACCGATGAATACAACATTGGACCACCCATGTCTGGGTTCAAATTTGTTATATTTTCTGGATCTGTTGGGTCTGGGTTCAAATTTGTTATATTTTCTATATAAGAATTTGTGGTTTTCCAACCTCGGTTTCCTGTGGAATAGATAATCTAAATCATTAGGGAGATATGGGAGTTACTTACTTGACTGGTCAAACAGCTACCAACACAGTCAGATAGTCTGACAGAGACCTTCACCGGCCCCACTACATTATTCTAATGAGCTTCCAAGACAGAACCTTCCTGCGAGAAAAGGTCAGCAGAAGAAGAAGACAGAGAAAGAGGTTTGGAAATGTAACCTAATTCAGTACAACCACACTCCAAAAAGGCCAAATTATCACTTTAATTACATCATGAAAAATAAAAGTGCTGGATATTTCTCAAAAGATTAAAGCTATTCTTTGTGGATTTTCATTTTATGAATTTTCCATTGCAGTGCTGTTTTGCTGTTTTGTTATTTGTTTCAGATCTGGGGGGAAAACAAATTACAAAAAAAGAATGAACAAAAGACTTACGTTTTAAGAATAAAAAAATAACACTTATGTATTAAGTGTTATTTTTTATAATATTGAATTATATTTAACAGTATAAATCAAAGCTTCGATTTCTAATCAGCAGCTTTTCCTGACAGGATTGTAGTGTTTTCAGCTCCCTTTTACATATGAAAGCCCTTGTATCGGCTGGTAGTGATGCGGGAAATGCTGATCAACTGCTGCCTTCATCATTAACAAACTAAAGGCATCAGACAGTGGGTTGGTCACACACGCACATTTAGCGCGCATATCCTCCAGGGAAAACAACAGGTGTTCTTTCTTATAGCTCTTTCTTAGAGAGATCAATGTCTATTCTGGCACGTCCAGATTCATCACTGCTGCTTCCCCAATAACAGGTCTGTGGACTGGTTTAAAATCATGTAAAAATCGATCATTTTAAAGCATCTCCTGGGGGAGGAGGAGCCAAGAGAAAATAAGGGCTCGCACAGCTGCAGGCTTAAGAATCAAGACTTGTCTTTATTTATGTCACACAGTCAAGTGGTCCCCGTGTTCTGTTTTAAAGCTCCTTCACTTGCTCTCCAGGCAGGAGGGTAAAGACGAGCCGCGGCGAATTTAATTAAATGTTTTGCTGCCGTACGTCAGTTTTCAATAATCTCCTCCAACGTAAAACCGCCCGGCACAGATGTCAATCCACTATCCAAGTGTCTACAAAAGTTTTAGGCAGTGGGGGAAATAAATCGGCAGACTATGAATGCTTTCAAAAATATAACCAAGGATTGTTTATTATATATAAGTGAGCAAACAAAAGAACAATCGGAATCACCTCAATATGTGGTGTTACTACCCTTTGACAAACAGCCATAGGTGTCACATAAGGATTCTTCTAGGTAAGCAGCCATAGGTGTCACATAAGGATTCTTTTAGGTCAGTGGTTCTCAAACCTTTTATACTCCGTACCACCTGAGAAAACATTGAGCTCTCCGACTACCACCATGATATCCAACATTAGAATTCCCCTGCTCGTTTCACGTTCAACTTGCAAGTGATCCCATGATTCCGTGCTGCCTGTTCTTACGTGAGCAACAGACTTGCATTGCAGCAAAAAAACAAGTAAATAAATAAAAAAGACCAGACATTATTATTTCATAATCTCACAAGTAGCTATACATTTGTTTTTCTAAATGTTGTAGTGATTGTGCCTGGTATGTTTCAGATTCATTCAATTAAAAATGTAAAAGGGAAAATGGGAATTTTCCCCACGTACCACTAGAGAGTGCTATGGTACGCGTACCACAGTTTGAGAACCACTGTTCTGGGTGATTGCACAGTGGTTTTTCGTAAAACAGGACGGTGTTTTACTCGCACACTTGCTTGGTGTGTTGTCCAAAGAGGATCTGGTGGCCCGCTTGATAAATGCTGAAAGTGAACGAATGCATAAACACTTCATCTTAGTGATGTTTTGTCAAATATTTCATATAAATATTTTTTTTTTCCTAATTTGCCTGCGTGCGCTGCTTTTAAAGCTCGGGTCTCGGCGTTGTGCTTAGCTCGTCTATTTATTTATTTATTTATTCATTAGTTTGCTTGTGTTTGTATTTTAATTCAGGTCGTCTTCTGCTCTCTTAATAAAACCTCCAGTTCGACATAACAGAAACATTTTTTCTGCGTAAATATCCCATGTTACAACATGGAACCTGCGGCTTAATATGTCCAATTTTTCTTGCTTTTTAAATGTAGTGTGTGTACCTTATATTCAGGTGCGCTCACTAGTCCGAACATTACGGTAATAATAGAGCTGTTTTTTCTTGACATTTGTTTAAGAGTTTAGTTACACTTTAACTGAAAGTTAAAAATCGCACGCAGAGTTCAAATTTCAGGTTTGAACATAGAGACAGATTATCTCAAAACATGATGCAGCTGAGGAAGAGTCTTTACCTTGACTTGAATTTATGGTCACATCTCACATCCATCCACTGTCTCTCCATAAACCATCCAATTCTACGCTGCCTGTGGCCTTGGCTCCACATGGAGACACATAAATCCAGCAGTGAGTGCTAATAACTCTACTGTTTATGGCAGAATAATATTTCTGGGAAAAAAAAAAAAAAACTTCACCCAAGGAAAACAACATCTGAATCATCTGCAAACATGGCTACGTCATGTCTTCGGACACCAATGTCAAACTTAGCTAATTTAATTTGAAGTTGTTTTTTTTTCTTATTTTTTCTTGAGAATGTTTGTTACGTTATTTTTTTAAAATACGTTAAATAAACATTTTTAAAAGGACATTAAGGCGTAATGACCTTACTACAGCAAATTTATCATTGTGTTTCAATGCCTTTATTTTGTGACACAACCTTTGGAAATCCAGTTTTAAGTGTTTGGTACGCGAACATTTTAGGATGAGGATTGTGTGCATGTGTGTGTGTGTGTGTGTTTGTGTGAGTGAGTGAGAGGGAGAGAGAGTGAGCAAGTGTGAACTGGAGACGACTAGATGGACTTGGTCAGCTGTTAAGCCGTTTTTTGCAGTTCAGTAATAATAATCCCCACTGTGACAGTGACAATGGTCCCGTGAGCAGCAGACTGAATCATCTCTACTCATCTGTGTGTATGTGTGTGTGTGTGTGTGTGTGTGTGTGTGTGCCTGTGTTGGATTTGAAATAAAAACCTATTACGCACAAAAGCACAATCCCCATGACTATTTGCGTATTCATATTATTGTAGTCTGTCAGCGTCTAACCACAGACAGCTTTTCACACCATCACACAGCAGGGAACAAAATAAAACATATTCTAATCAGTCAGGGAAAGATACATACATACATATATATATATATATATGATTAAATTTTTTATTAAATATATATTTTTATTAAAATATATATATATATATTTTAATAAAAATATATATTTAATAAAAAAAAAAATATATTATATATATTATATATTATAAAATATATATATATATATTTTAATAAAAATATATATTTAATAAAAAATTTAATCATATATATATATATATATATATATATATATGATAAAAAAAATTCATTGCTTTTGTATGAATGTAAGATTAAAATGGAGGGATCAGACAGGGAGTGTCGATTAAGATTGACGTTAAGTCTTTAAGCCACACGTTATTTATGTAAATTGTTGTTGTGAATTGGCTTTTTATTGTGTAGTAACACTTTAGACCCAGTTGGGGGCGCTGTTACTGTTTTATGACACTGATTGTTGATTGACCTACATGCCACGAGGAAGATACCTCTACCAGACTAGTCATGTTTTACCTGGTCCTTTTTTAGAAATAAATAACTCATTCACTACTTCCCATATATAGGGAATTATTAATTATGTCATTACTGTCGCACAATTAAAACTGAATAGACGGACACTGACACTCTCTTTACCAGGTCGACACGACTGCAGTGCATGGTGGGATATATTGCTTGGGTTGTGGATACGTAGGATACATCACACACTAAAAATTTGGACACAAATCCCCCTTTGCAGTGCACTTTGTAGGGTGT